ACTATAAGGATTATATTAGGGCCCTATTCTATTCCTACTATACCACTATTACAGGGTGGGGGCCCCTTCTAAGGGATCAATAAGAATGTTGTTTTTGTTTTGTTCCAGGACCCCTAAACCCTAAACCCTAATAATAGGGCGGCTAAGCATAAACCTTAAGGCTTGAAGCCTCTCTCCAGGAGCGGATTGAGATGGAGTTGGCGCCTTAGGGTCTGGGCTTTTAGAGGGTCTTATGAGGATTCAGGGTCAGGTTACCAAGGGTTTAGGGGTTTAGGGTTGAGAGTTTAGGGTTTAGGGTTGAGGCTTTAGGGTTTATAGGATTCAGGGTCCGTGTCGCGGCTCACGAGGCTTTATAGGTTTCTCAGGCTTCGGGGCTTTGGGTTCAAGGTTCTGGGTCGGGCTAGAACGGCTAGCATGTAGCATCCCCGAGGCAACACGCTAACCGACAAGAAGGGTGCCGCGTTGCCAGCAGCAGCAGTGTTTTTGTATATGTGAATCGCACGAAAGGCGTTGACTGTAGATTGTGGTTTCGGTCGAAGGACCAGCACTGATCCGGTTGTGTATCGTCAGCCATTTGCTGTATCGGTCCGGGGCATCTTTGAAGCACCTGCTGCTTGCTGCTTGGACCTGAGCTTGCTGGCAAATGGAGCTACGGAACCCAAAACCCTAAACTCTAAACCCTAAACCCTAATTCTGTTTGTCCAGCGGCTAAGGAGAAACGTCTTCCACAGTTTTGCCCAGGCAAGAAAGCCAAGGTCCAACAGCTAAAGCTACAGAAGCCTCCAATAAATGCAAAGGTAGTTTTGCAAAGGTTCGTATATGAAGGTTTCTTAGAACTGATTCGTTTCGGTGGCTGAAGGTTTGACATCCCGTCCGAAGAGCAGATCATCCTTTTCCAGGGCAAGTTTATTGCTCAACGTCTCGCACCCAGTGCCTTCAGGTTATAGGGAAGTTTAGGACTTTTTGGTGTCAGCCCTGCGCAAGCCGTCGGTGGTTTGGGGCTTGTGGGCGCCTGCCCGAAACCCGTAATCAACCGTCATCATGCAGCCGAAGTCCTGCAACCCGTAATATCCTTCTCCTAAATCTTCGAAGATTGCCTGAAAATGAAATATGGGCCTCCGAAAATCAAGAAAGCACTGTACTAGTAGCAGATACTGTACAAGCTGAGTGGATGGTCAACCTAGCCACTCGCGAATCGTAACGGCCTTCCGAGCTAGGGACACACAAGGGACACATGAAGCACTTTCTGAGACTCTTGCTCCGTGCAGTGCACGGTTGCCAGTGGCAGTTTAATTAACTCTGCCGATGCACGGCTCGAGGAGATCTGCATGAGGCCGCATTGTTTTCGCCAGTCGGTCCTTCTGTCTCTCTCTCTCTCTCTCTCTATCCGTTTTCGCGTTTCTCTCGCTCACAACGCACACACCCGCACACCTCTCAACGTCTATCTTTCCCTCTCGCTCTAGGTGTCCTTGCCTGTCTTCCCTCTCTGTGTAGATGTGTATACACATGTATGCACATGTATCGTTGCCCAAGAACCTGTCAGCACCTGTAGTTTCACACTAGTGTACGGTACTTGGTACATTTACATACCTGCATGAGGATATGTGTTCTTGGGGCAGCACATTCCAACACATGGCATCGCACACCAAGCAACACCATCATGATTGTTAGCAGCCACAGAATCACCTCAGCGCTCACCCTTGTAAGAGCGGTTTGGACCAGAATGATCAGCGCGTCTGTCTATATCTATATCGAAATCTGCTTCTGTTACTATGACTATATCTATATAAGAATCTACAACTATATCTATAGCTATTCCTGTATCTGTATCTATAGCTATAGCCATATCCACACTAGGTGTTCATACTGCATACAAACTCATATCATAACCACTGTTGTCACTGTCAGTAGCTATTCCTTTTGTTTCCCACCATTGCATATTCCCAGAGAGCCCAATACCCCTTAATTGAGGAATATACCTTAAATCATTAGTAGGGGCTTCATATTTTGATTTAAGCAAAATTCCTGAATCAAGGGGCATTGGGCTCTCTGGGTTTGGGGGATCCCGCAAGTCAACGTCTCTTCCAAGGCTACATGACGCAGAAGGACTCCCTGCCTTCGTACGTGCGTGCGCAGCACACATGCGTTTGTACTGCTAAACCCTGGAACCTGTTCTGGGCCCTACCTTAGCCCCGAATAACCCACCGTTTTAAGGACCTACAAACAGAAACCATAATAAGGAACCCTAAAAAGGTAGGTTCTTCAGGGTTAAGGTAGTCCCTGAAGGTTTTGGGTCTATAGCTTCGGATAGTGGGTGTAGGGTGTTGGAACACGTCCCAAAAGCAGCGGCATGTGCCTGAAAGGAGAATGCCATGCAGCCGCTGAACACCCCCGATCTGCAACTAGTTGCCGATTTGGGATGTTTTTTTTGGTTCAATCCCAGTTAGAGTATGTTATATTCAATTACTATATTAGCCTGTTCTTTATTTGTGTATATTGTAACCTAACATGTTTTCGTTTGGAGAGGCGGGAGGCTGTTGAAATCGATACCTAGGCAAGAGATCGTGGAGGAAGCCGGCGAGGAGGGTTTGCAGATGAGCCGCGACACAAACAGTCTTAGGGTTTACCTTAACCCTGAATAACCTACCTCTTTCGGTTTCCCTATTATGACTTCCTGTTATAAGTCCTTCATGAGGTAGTGTTTAGGGCTCAAGGTTTAGCATTGACGGTTCATGGTTGGGGTTTGAGACGGGTTTGGGGTTTGGGGAATTATGGTTTAGGGTTTTAGGCTTAGGGTTTGCACACCCTAACCCCTCAAAAAAGCCATCGCCATAGTGCGAGGCCCGAGTCCCCCAAGCACCTGCAAAGTCACATCCGCAGGGGAGGTTAGGTTTTGGGGTTTAGAGTTTAGGATTCAGGGTCTAGGGTTTAGGGCTAAAGACTACCTATGGCATGACCTATGGGACTCAAAAACATGAGCGGCCTGTATTCGGCGTTGTACTTCTAGACGGATTATGAGGAGAATGCTAATGATAAGTGTTGTTTCTCATGATTATGAGTCTAGTTCTTTTGCATGGTTCCGACCCGTCGATAGAAACTCTAAGCTGCCAGGTTTAGGATCCCTACTATCAAGTCCTAGGCAATACCGATTGAAATCTTAAATGTTACGGTTTAGGGTTTAGGGAGTAAGAAGCCCAGTAAACCCGAACTCCGAATATGAAACCCCAACCCCTGATATTGCCAACGAACGAGATCTGGAGCGGTCTGAGCTAAGACCAAGGACGGTGGTGCACAAACCATTTCGGCTCGAAAAGTTCATGAAGAAGGCTGATGAACAGTTGATGATACAAATCCTGCATTGCCCATAAGAAGGAATATACCATGATTCCCATAGTTTAGGGTCTTTAAGGTAATGCAGGATTTATATCATCAACCGAAGTACTCCGGGGATGCACGAGTTCTGAACCAGCTCTGTAGTTTTTTTTTTGCGGCTGCAAGGTTTTCGGGCGAAGGGTTTAAGGTGAAATGCTCAGGGATGATAGGTATTACTGTACGATGTCTAGGTCTTACGGTCTAGGCTTATGAAGGAAGCCAAGACTTAGGGTGAAGGGCTGAGGGATGAAGATTTGTGGGTTTAGGATTATAGGGTCTAGGGATTCCTCGGGTGTACAATTCAGAGCTGTGCTCGTTCGTCTGAGTCCTGCGATATAGGAGTTTCCGAGAATTTGGGGGTACCTTATTTAGGGGTACTTATAACAAGGATCCTACTATTTTGGGTGCTATATAAGGGTCCCCTGCTTTCGGAAACTCCCATATAGCGGCTTTACGTGAGTCGCTAGCTGTCGCTCACGGGAGTGCAATGTTTTGCTTGCCCAGTGCTTCGGAGTAGCATGTTCTTTTGAGGTATGGTTTCGAGTTTAGAGACTATGCCTGGGCCATAATCCCGATAGCTGAAGATGAAAAAGCGAATAGCGTCATGGTCAGAGGGGGAAAGACACCTAACATCGGATTTGGTATCTGGGGCTCAGGGCGAAAACCCTAAACCCCAAACTCTAAGTTGGGAACTCAGCGCTTTGATTGTAGGGTTTAAGTGGTGCTGAGTGACTTTGGGTTTTACTCCGAAGCCGGAACACTGGACCATTACCCCTCAAAATCTGAGTGCGACAGTAAGCCCCAGTTGAAGCTTCGAAGAGGAAATGCTAGGCTCCTCTTGCCACTTTAAGCCGGAAAGTTGGGGGCTATCTGTGTTCCAAATTTATCGTTGGTTTTTAGTTGTGCTACAATCTTTGGTTGTGGACAGCCTTATCGCTAGGCTCCTATAGACTGTACATAATATGTACGGCCACCTACGATACAGGTGAACGCCATAACCAGTTAGTTGAGCACAACGAACACTGAACATCCTAAACACCCTGAGCGCCTAAGTTACCCTTAAACAGTCGAGCGAAAAAAAACAGGAAACCCCACGTGCTTCCTAAGCAGCTCTCCCTCACAGGAGGGCGCTGAGCTGGATGATTGGGATGCCAAACTGAAGCCGCTGGGACTTCTTGCATGGAGAGTTTCAGGTTCAGGGTGTGCAGGGTCAGGGTGCTGCAGGGTTTAGGTCGTTTCGGGGAAGCCGCTGGTGCTTAGTTATGCTCGTTTTTTTTTTGAGTTCTGGGCTCGTGGATGGTTGGCCTTGATGGACCTAGGGCCCCTTCCTCGAAGGTGATATCAGATATGTGTACATACAGATATAACACACATATATATATATATACAAAACATACGCAGAACATGTATGTAGATATAAGCATACAGTTAACTAGCATATCAGCCAACCAATGAGTTCGCAGTTCGATTAGTTCATCTGTGTGTATACCTTTGCCTCGCCTTCTATATATATATATATATATATGTACATATATATATATATATGTATCTATATTTATTTACTTTTTCCATAGGTGTATATATGTAGATAGACATGCACACATATGCAGACATATCTGAGTTTTTAGGCCTGGCGGAGCGAGCCTCCTGCATCGCGCCATACGACGCTGTGAGATCAGTGTGGTGGAGGAGCTTCTGGTGAAGGAGGCCGAATCAGCGTTTAGGGATGTTTAGGGTCCAGGGTTGGCGGTTTAGGGTTTAGGGTTTTAGGGTTTAGGGTTTAGGGTTTGGTGGCGGTATTTTTTGCTCATTTTTCCAGTTTTTTTATTCTTATTTTTTTCCGTTTTCCTCGGGGCAAGCAAGCAAGCCAGCAAGCAAGCAAGCAAAGCAAGCAAGTAAGCCAGCAAGCAAGCAAGCCAGCGAGCAAGCAAGCATGCAAGCGTGCAAGCAGGCAAGCAAGCAAGCAAGCAAGCAAACGCGCAAGCAAGCAAGCAAGCAAAGAAGTAAGCAAGCAAGACAGGAAGCAAGCATGGAATCGCTGCAGCCTCCTGTTATTACTACCTACTACCTACTACGTACTACCTACCACCTACCACATACCACCTACCACCTACCACCTACCACCTACCACCTACCACCTACCACCTACCACCTACCACCTACTGCCTACTGCCTACTGCCTACTGCCTACTACCTACTACTACCTACTACTACCTACTACTACCTACTGCTACTGCTGCTGCTACTCCTACTACTCCTACTACTCCTACTACTCCTACGACTCCTACTACTCCTACTACTACTCCCACTACTACTACTACTACTACTACTACCACTACTACTACTACTACTACTACTACTACTACTACTACTACCTACCACCGACTACCTACTACCTACTACCTATTACCTACTACCTAGTACCTACTACCTACCACCTACCACCTACCACCTTCTACCTACTACCTAGTACCTACTACCACTGCTACAACTACTATTATTATTACCACGACGACGACATAATATTAGTATTATTACTACTTTTCTTCCGAACGCAGCAAGAAGATGTCTCGCTTGGCGGTCCAAGTTTTGGGGCAGGATCTGCATCCCGGCGCTTTCGCGCACTCCACCTTCTGTGAAGTCCAAAATGTTCTACGACGCTCTCCCGGCCCGAGGGCCCCAAAGAAGAGAGCGCCGTGGTCTGTGTAAAGTGCCGGAGTACGTTGAGCAAAAATCACACACAACTGTACAAGTGTGAGGAATGACCTGACTATGCTGTTCGGCATTGGCACAGACTGGGGCACTTATAACCCAAATTAGGGACTAGTGGCATCAGGGCAGTGCGCATACAGAAAGGCATAACAATTGGTATAAATGTGAGACCACTGAGTCTCGCTGCAGATGCGGCTTGCGGGTACAGCGTCCTGAGTGAGGAGTTGCATGCTGCTGTCAAACAGCACCGCCCTATAGTGCCCCGAGCTCGCATCGGAGCCTTCATGCATCAATGCTGCTGCAAGTCGGAAGGAGACCAGCTCAACTTCCAGCGCATTGGGCTGCCGCAGATCGTTCTGGAATTTGGGAATTACAACCCGTGGTTCGGGAACTACCCTAGCAGAGGTTTTACCTAGGGAGTCGGGGTGACCTACGCCAAAACGATTGACCTGTAGCAGCAAGACAGGCGGAACACTAAGCAAGCCTTGTCGCCCTTCCTGATGCTGGTGCCATGCATCGACTAGGCTTTGTAGGCTAATGTGGGGCAGTGAAGTGGGTCTTAGGGGATCAGGCAACCACAAAGGCCAAGTATTACCATCTTCAATCTTAAGAATTTGGTTATCTTGCTCCAGTCGTGACTCCCAGTGGCATTCAACTGCATCCGAAAGCAGCGAAGGTCGGAGGAACCGAAGATAATCAACTATGTCATGCTGTTGCGTGGGAGACTGCCAGCCTATGTGGATTGCTCTCCAAGATATTTGCTGCCATAGATGAATCACACCTTTCCTCCGTTTGAGGCTTGCAAGAACCGCAAGCAGGCGCGTGCCAAGCAGGCCCTCACTAGAGCTCCGAGTCATCCCTTGCATAAGCAAACAATGCACCCAGGCAATGGCAAGAAAGGAGGCATTGCTGCAGCAGAAGTTACTGGTGTTCCCGAGTGCTAGGCTCCTGACAGTTCCTCGAGGATCTTCTGCAGATTCTGGGCGAGCATGGAGCGGCCCAGGCGTTCTTGGCGCATGCTCAGCGCCACTGCTCTGCAGGCTCCACTGTGGCTCAGTCGAGCCAGGATGTTCCATGCCCGATCCGCCTCCGAAGTCCGGAGGCCCACCTCCAGCATCATGGGAACGATCTCCCCGGGATTCTGCAAGGCCCTGCGTCGGGCCGCGTGGAACCGCAGCGTGGTCAGCGGCAGCAACACCAGGTCCTTGAGCTCCAGGAGCATTTCGAGGATGCGCTCCAGTGTCATTGGGTCGCGGTCCTTCTTGATCTCGAGCTTCTGCTCCTCCCGGTTGTATTGGAGATAGGGTACGTTGCCGGAGCTGTCCAGGATAAGCATTTCCCGGGCATTCTGGCGCGATTCCTCCGTCAGGGGAACCGCCTCCATCCTTGTACCACCTGGTGTACCAGACCTCCACGAGCTGGTGCAGGAGAGCTGACCGCATGGGGAGCGTGAGCTGCTCCGGTGTCTGCTCCTTCTGCTGCGTCCAGGCTTCTGCCGTCCTCTTCAGATCCGGGACAATGGAGAGGAGTCCCTTCGCTTGGCAGAAAAGAATAAATCCCTTCTCCGAGCGGTCGATCGACTGTTGGTCCTCGTGACGAAGAACGAGGCGAGCCATCGAGGTGCAGAGCTTGGCCAGTTGGGCCGTTTCCTTGTCCTGGCCCTTGTCCCATGACTGCTTGCTCCAGTAGTCGTTCTTGTGGCTTCCCCAGCCGGAACCATCGGTGGAGTGTCCCCCTTTGTAGTTGGTCTTCGGCCACTTGTTGGGGCCCTTCCGTGACCGTTGCCGTTGCCGGATGGGGTCTCCTTCTGCTGCTCGGTGTGGTAGCCGCGCTTGTGGTCCCGGTTGCTGGTGTCCATTTGCGACGGCGTCGGCGCTGAGGGGGCTGAAGGCTCCGAGGTGTTCTGGCGTTCCTCCTCCTGCTGAACTTGCTGCGCTCCCGCTCCCAGGTTGCCGGTGGGGTTGGCCTTGGCCATGCTCTGGATCATTGCCATCTGCTTCTGGGCAGACAACAGCTCCGTCCCGGGTTCGTCCTGCAGTTCCGCCTCCATGCCGGCCATTTGTTTCCTGCGAGGCTTGAAAGGCTTTGTGCATAAGGATTAAGAGGCCTGTCCGGATGAGTGTGGGACAGGACTGCACATGCTTAGCCCTGCTGTGGTGATGCACACTGAAGTCCTGGTGGCACCACTGACACGGGCTGAAGACTGTGGCTCTACGCTCTGCTAGCCAGCTCGGCAGCTCCTTGAGGACGGTGCGCAAAGCAGGATGTTGCACACTAACATGCCTCGTGAGATAGTTGGGCTTTGCAAGCCACTGATTGCAAAGCATGCAGTGGTTCTGATCGCTCGCCCTAAGGTGCTTCGCAACTGACCTCCAATCCGTATGTGATGAAAGCTGAACGAGATCGGCTGACAGCAGGCACCATAGATCACTCAGGGAAGCAATGGCCTTGACTGCAGGATCCGAAGGTGTGCAGATCCGAGTAGATAGGGATGGCACGGGTGCACTGGACACTGCTGAACTTTCCATTTTGTCCGATGCCTGCTGTGACTGACTGTGTAGCACCGAGCAACACTTGCGCTCAAAGTGCTGACAGAAGGACGGCCAGGAAGTGAAGTTCCACTGGCAGTGCTTACAAGTGGGAAGGCCATTCAGGGCATGACACATGTAATCAGTACGCATCTGTTGTTGTGTGCGTTTTGGCGGGGGTAGGCTTACTGCAATTTCGTCTGTTTCGGGCTTGGGGTGTTTTAGTGCGCAATGAACTCTAACTGCTTTGAGGGAATCAAAGTAGAGCCCGCAGTGCGGACATGCCTGTGGCTCCACATGATGTGCTATTGCAACTAGATGCGCCTGGGTGCCAGCTGGGTGTGACAGCATTGGAAGAACGGACGCCTGCGTGTCTTGTGTTTGTTGTGAGAAGTAATGGTCCAGGGTCTGCCATCTGGACTGAACCCGCGCAGGTTGCAGGCACACCATGACACCGCAGCGGCAATTGTGCAGTCGCCGTAATGCCCTTTGGGCAAGATCCTTAAGGGGGTCCATGACTGAAAGCTTATCAAAGAGTACTTGTGCAGGCTCCCTAGTAAGATGTACAGGTTCTTTGATGACCATCCGCAGTTGCCTAGCTACAGTTTTGCTGATAAGAACCGAACCAGCCCCCGAGGACACAACACAATCCAGTCCATACATCAAACTGGCATATGCACATGCACGCCAAACTTCCAATTTGAGGGCACGTGTAAGGCCGACGCTGCGCAGTGAAGGCAGGAGTCGGTTAAAGACGTTCCAAGATTGCCGAACCCTATGTTTGATCGTAAGAAGTTCAGAGCAGGTGTAGCTCAGCTGACAGCCCAGATAGGTGTGCTGTTCAACTACAGGAAGCTCTACTTGTCCGGATTCGGTCGCAATCTTGATGACCTTGCCTTTGCCATGCTTGCGAGACACATGTTCTTTGATGATTCGATTGGCTTGACTGCCTTTAAGCTTGATAAGTATGACTGTTTTGTCCAAGCTCGGCTGCATCCCAAATTCATGCAAAACATCCAGCACAAAACCGACCAATCGCACCGCTCTAACTACATCCTCTGGCTTATTGATGACCCATTGAAATAGCCAGTCGTCGGCAAATGCTGACAGTTCCTCTGGCGAGAGCTGTTCCAGAAGGCGAACCATGACCACCGCAGTAAACATGGACCACAGGGTGGGTGCAAGCCCACACCCTTGGCGTATACCATTCTCTGTGTCAATGGTGGTTTTGTGCGGTCCGAAGGAAAATTGCATTTGCGCATGCGAATGCAGGGACATTATTGTCCACACCAGCGCTGGATCGGCTTTGGAGTTTTGTAAGGCCGTTAAGAGATGGGCTCGGGGCATTAGGTCAAACGCTTTGCGCAGATCTACACTTAAAGTGATGCCACCCCTACAGGGCAGGACTGTGTGCCCCTGGTATCGGGTTTGTGGTGTGGCTGTCTGCGCGCGCAGAATCGATTGAAC